GAAACCCCACCTCGCCTCCCAACTTTTGAAACTCTTAAAGAGCCGGGAGGCGCTAGCGCGAAGAGGTTAATGAAATTGCAAGCTACAGTAAAATCGGCGGTACAAATCACACTGATCTGTGGCTTTGAATTTGCGCTACTCAAAGTGAAGAAGCACGATTTGAAAGTTGCATTCTGTGTGAACCAGGGCTGAGAGCCCATTCACACCTGTCCGATCTTGTGCGTTGTGTTAAAGTGCATTATGTCACATGTCAACGTGTTGCATTAGAGCAGCTTATTCATTTTGAATACACTGCCATCAGATGAGATGCAGTGCGACACAAGTCTGTGCATTGTGGTGTGCTAAAATATTAAATTGCAAGTTCTTATGAGCAGGGCCCTATTAACCCTCCTGTATTGTATTTTAAGGTAAGGCGGCTTTTACACTGATCTGTGTTTCTTCTGCTTTTGTTTTAAAAAAAAAAAGCTAAAGAAAAATGTGTGACCATGTATTCCTATAGAACTCTTCACATGGATCAGCTGTGGGTCTGGTACATTTTTCAAAGTCCCGCTTCCTGCATTTTTGGTGCAGTATATAAAAAAAAAAAAAAAAAAAAAACACACCAAAAACGCACCTCTTCATTGATTTCAATGGAAAACACTGCAAAAGCAGTTTTTCAAAATTATTTCTCAGCAAAATAAAGCATGGAGACGTGGATGGATGGGGAGTTTACTTTACATATTAAAAATGATTAAAAATTGCATTTTTGGTCTGTGGTGCTCAGATGCAGTGCAGTTCCACGTTAAGCTTTTCAGAGTGAAATGCGTTAGTGGGTGAAGTTTGCGCAGGATGTGGAATAAACTTTTAGACTCGTACATGGGGCATTTGAAATACTCTTCTGAATGATGGAAACTGACTGCTGGAAAACGCAGGTTAAAAAACATCAGTCTAGCCGCGTTTGCATACCACGTTTATGTGCGTTTGCTTTTAGAAGCGTTTTTAAAAGATAACCTCAGGAAACCTTTCCAAATGCCCAGAATGCACTGAAAAACAGTAAAAATTAACTATTTCAGACATTTTGAGAGCAATTGAAAGAGCAGAAGCAGAGAGAGCAGTATGTTTTGAGAGGACCTATCTTTTCTGGTTGTATTCACTATGGATCCCATCATGAGCATAATGCAGCACGTTCTACCTTTTTTTTTTTCCTTCACGCGAAACCTGGAACTGTACTGGATCCATTTAAGTACCTGGAAAACGCTTTGCATTCATTTTCTGATGATGAAAAGAGGCTCTGGACAGCATTTGGACATGGAACAGATAGCAAACGCTTAACCGGGTTTACAAGCGTTTGGAACGCCAATAAAATCTACTCCTGAAGGCTTTGGTGTGTTCGAAAAAACGACTATGTGTACATGGACACATAGGAAAACATTAGGGAGAGTTCAGGGGCTGCTGAAAAAAATGCAAAAAAGCTCCTGAATGTGAGTTTATTAGCTGCAATGTACATGAGCCCTTAAACAAAACTAATATCTCAATGAGGCATTAATATTTCTTGGATCATGGACAGTCATTTTTCATCTTACTGGGTCTCATCAGCAAGGGGTTGGTATGGTTGGGTATGAAAACCTCAGGCGATGCTTCAGGCAAAACTATACAGGTTTCATCGTAGACATTTCTAATAACACTGTCTGTATTTACAATGGTACATTTTTATCATTTACACATTATTTTACAGCTGCACAGACACTGAAATAGCTGGGCTCTGATGTCATTCTCAGAGATGACTGCTCGTCAGGCTGACCAGGGAACCAGTCTAGACTCATCAGAGACCTGAGCTGCCCCCTAGAAAATGATGATGAAATATTCTAATTAACACATGTAAACAGGATCCAGGCACAATTCTATTTGTCTGGATTATTTTTAGCCAGCCTACTCTGAGTATTTTATTTGCCATCTCCCTCATGTATCCTCAAAGCAGGGGGTTTTATCTGTGCCTTTCAGCTACAAAAAACCCTTGCATGTTTCCTAATTAAAGGGGATCTGAAGTCTTTTTAGGGATAAGCTACAAGGGCAATTTTAATCTCTTGCTTCTGAGAGATTGAAGCCCTAGTCTTATTAGGCTAGAGCTACAGGGGAGATTTTGATTTGCTCAATCCTTCTACTAAAACTGATAGGAGTAGCAATCGCGAAACCATTGGCTCCCTGTGGAGTAAGGGACACCAGTAACATTTTCAGCTGTAATTCCTTTTGGACCTTTTGGACATTGGTGACCCACAATTTAGACAAGCTGCTGATCACATGACTAAACTTGCCAGTTCTAGGTCATGTGACTCAGGACTGGCAGCTCAGACTCAGGACAGCCATATGTGTTTTACAGCTCGGAGGTTTCAGAGCTCAAATTGGGAGAATTGCTTTTAATAAACTAGCTGTTTATGGTCAACTTAGGTCTAAAATAGACACATCTTCCAGATGAAGTATCCAAATATATGTAACATTACATATAACCTCTTAAAGTCATGGAAACCACCTATAAATTCACACTGGCCAAAATCAGGAAAGGGGAATTGCTTTTGGCCTTGCTGACTGTTGCAAGCTCAGGCAGTTCTGAAATCGCAATGAAAGATCTTCTCAAATAGAGACACAGAACAGCTTATGATATGTAGGGATTTTTTTATTTCACATTTGCAGGCTAAGGACCCCATTTATTTTATTATGTATTTCAGGTACTTTTATAGCAGCATCAGCTTGTGCAGCACTTTACATACATGTACTATATACATTGATATCAGTCCCTAACCCTCAAGGAGCGTACAATCTAAGGTCCCTAACTCACATTCATACATACACACACTAGGGCCAATTTAGACAGGATCCAATTAACCTACCAGCATGTCTTTGGAGTGTGGGAGGAAACCGGAGTACCCGGAGGAAACCTATGCAGGCCCAGGTAGAACATAAAAATTCCAGGCAGGTGGTGCCGTGGTTGAGATTTATAAATCAATGATTTAACCCTGTATAAGAAAATAATTTGAAAGCATAATCATGTGCTTTACAAATGTGTGTCATGACACCTTGCTTCCAGACTCCAAGGGTTTCATTCCAATGAATGAAAAAAAATAGCCAGGAGGAGGAGGAGAGCACAGTCATGTGACCTATTAAAATCATGGAACCTTTCTTCCAATCACAGGATTTTCCCTGCAGCAGTAAATGGACATAACCCCATGGGATACTTCAGGCTCCAGGTATCCAGCGATATCAGCTCTCCATTATAAACAGGCCTCTTATATAGTTTTGACAGAACATTTGCTTGCATCCTGTAAAGCCAGTGAATAATCATGGTATGACATACCCCAGAGCAGGAATCTACATCATTTTCTATATAGTCATTTAATAGGATTACAGGGAAAAGAGAACCAGTAATAAAAAACACAATCTTGTATGACCTCACAGGATGTCTGTCAGGTTGCTATTAGTCTTCTAAATTGTAAAGATCATATTATAACTATATAAATTATTTGGAAAATCAATAAAAAGGAACACACTTCTTCATTTAATTTTTTTCATGCATTCCTTATGTAAATGTTCCTGCTCTTATTTTTTCTTATTTATTTAGAAAATTCTGCAGTTTGAAAATGATGATAGATAATCCAGGCTGCATATAGTGCTGATCATGTGACCAAAAATATAGGCATCGGTCATTTTATCTCTGTTAAAGGATAAGTTCAGTTTTTACAAAAAAAATAAATGCGCTTTTTAAAAGCTTGGAAAGCATTCCACCAGCAATCAGCAGGTCGCTGGTGCCATGCAGGACTCCTGCAGACTGTCAGCATGAGCTGTCGTGAGCTGTCAGGGCAGGCAGTTTCTCACTGACAGGAAAAAAATCAATGAACTGCCCCAATCCTCAACAGCGCCGTGGTAGTTCATTGAGCACTACCAGCAGTCAGCCTCAAAGGTTAACGGGACTTGCAGTGTCTCCTTCACAGAACTCTGTGAATGAATGAGGTGGGTGGGCGGAGCCCCCCTCATCCACGGTTTTTAAAAATTGTCACAGTTAGCAGGGTGGGTGGGAGTAGATCCCGTGCTACCTTTCACAATGGGGGATATGTGTGTGGGGGTTCGGGGGCTGGTGTTACAGTAACATGGTACACCCTGAACATGAGCGTAACATATTCTGAAAAGTGAACTTATCCTTTAAAAGAGATGAGTGTAGTTCAGGGTGGCCTATCCAACTCCTTCAGCAAAGATCACATAAGCAAATGCATTTGGTCTTGCATCCTGCAATCAGGGGCGGACTCACAACTCATGGGGCCCCCGGGCAATAGGGGCCCCATGTGCCCTCGCCCAAGCTCAAAAAAACCTATGAAAAAGGTACCAGGGGCATCTCATGGGGCCCCCTACTGATCCTGGGCCCTCGGGCAGTGCCCGAGTTTCCAAATGGTCAGTCCGCCCCTGCCTGCAATGGGGAATGGAGCAGAGGCATAAAACAGCTTGAAAATTTCCTGCAGACCCTGCAGTTTTCTTGGCTTTTTAAGTTTTAAAGGATATAAAGATGATTATGTTCAGATCCCATAAGCATTGGATCAGTATGCATCATGTATTATTTCAAATCAGGACAATACATCCACAAGCAGGTCTCAGACTGTGGCATGTATAATTGCAACATCCAATTGAGACTGATGAGTTAGCATTTATACAACCATATTGGTAGTTTGATCCTAAACTAAAATGTGATATTGTATAAAAGTGGTTGTAGTGTTTTTGTCTTCCTGGGTAACAGTGAGCGTCCCTTTAACATAGCACAGCTTTAGAGATAATCCTCTTAGTATTAGATTTGCAGAATCTAGGTTTTATGATAATACCCTCTTGACCACCCGCAGTATGATCCTGCCTACAACACAGCACTGTGCACAGCAATTGTCACACCATAATCATCTCTGTGTGCTCACTGATGACTTTCTATGACTGTAGTAAAAACTGGCCATCATGACAGGCTTGATGAAGAAGATCATACAATCATTTACCAGGTACAGGTAGCGGTCTTGTGCGGTCCCATTCTTTGCAGAGAGTTTCTGGATGTGTCCCTCTTTGATGAGTTCATTGGCGGGATTCACAATGTCCTCTTCCCCTCCCAGCCGTTCATACACCTCCAGCAGTTTATGCATCTTTTCCTTTTTAAAAAACATACAGAAACTGTTAGGAGCACTGAATAACATATCACTAAAACAAATATGCAAATATATGCACACAAGGAATACAATTCCAAAGGCAACTTTTACTCCAATGAACAACTCAGAACATTTTTTTATCATACATATATAGATATAGATTTTCGCCTTTCCTGATTTCAGTTTTTTTATTTTCTTGCCTTTTCTAGTCATCCAAGCTATAGTTACTGTATGTAAATTGATCACAGTGTTAAAAACAGCACCAAGCATATTTTTGTCAGTAATGCACATGAACGGACAGTGTATAAAATGAAAAAATAGATATTGATGTTCTAATTGCAAGAGAAATTATGGCATCTGCAAACCATGTGAATACAACATATACCCACACATATACGAATATACAGTAGGAAAAATAATTATTTGATCCCCTGCAGATTTTGTAAGTTTGCCCACTTACAAAGAAAGGGGGTCTATCATTTTTTTATCATAGGTGTATTCTAAATGATAGAGGCAGAATATCAATCGAAAATCCAGAAAAAGCACATGATACAAATGTTATAAATTGAGTTGCAGTTCAGTGAGTAAAATAAGTATTTGATCCCCAAGCAAAACATGACTTAGCACTTGGTGGAGAAACCCTTGTTGGCAAGCACAGAGGTAAGATGTTTCCTGTAGTTGGTTACCAGGTTTGCACACATCTCAGGAGGGATTTTGGCCCACTCTTCTTTACAGATCTCTAAATCCTTAAGGTTTCTTGGCTGTTGCTTGGCAACTCAAAGTTTCAGCTCCCTTCATAAATTGTCTATAAGATTTTGGTCTGGAGACTGGGTAGGCAACTCCATGACCTTAATGTGCTTCTACTTGAGCCACTCCTTTGTTGCCCTGGTGGTGTGTTTTGGATAATTGTCATGCTGGAAGACCCATCCACGACCAATCTTCAGTGTTCTGGCTGAGGAAAGAAGGTTCTCATCCAAGATTTTGCAATACATGGCTTGATCCATTGGCCCCTCAAAGTTGGCCTGTACCTTTAGCAAAGAAACAGCTTCAAAGCATAATGTTTCCATCCCAAAGTTGACTGTATGGATGGTGCTCTTAGGGTCATAGTCAGCATTTTTATTCCTCCAAACATGACGAGTTGAGTTAATGCTAAAGAGCTCAATTTTGGTCTCATCTGATCACAGCACTTTCTTCCAATCCTTCTCTGAATCATTTAGATGTTCACTGGTAAACTTCAGATGGGCCTGTATATATGCCTTCTTGAGGAGGGGGACCTTGCAGTCGCTGCAGGATTTCAATCCATGGCAGCGCATTGTGTTACCAACGGTTTGTTTGGTGACTGTGGTCCCAACTGCCTTGAGATCATTCACAAGCTCCTCCCATGTAGTTCTGGGCTGATCCCTCACTTTTCTAATGATCATACTTACCCCATGAGGCCAAATCTTGCATGGAGCTCCAGACCGAGGGTAATTGATGGTTATTTTGTTTTTCTCCCATTTGCAAATAATCGCTCCAACAGTTGTCTCCTTCTCATCAAGCTTCAAGCTAATGGACTTGTAGCCCATTCCAGCCTTGTACACATCTACAATCTTGTCCCTGACGTCCTTTGACAGCTCTTTGGTCTTGCTCATGGTGGTGCCCAAGAGAGCGATTCTGTGGACAGGTGTCATTTATACACATAAGGAGTTGTTGTTAGGAGCCCCTTTTTAAATTGACAGGACTAATCTGTGTACCACATGAGCATATAGCCAGTCTGTGGGAGCCAGAATTATTGTTGGTTGGTAGGGGATCAAATATCTATTTTACTCACTGAACTGCCACTCAATTTAGAACATTTGTATCATGTGTTTTTTCCGGATTTTTGGTTGATATTCTGTCTCTATCATTTAAAATACGCCTATGATAAAAATGATAGACCCTTCATTCCTTTGTAAGTGGTCAAACTTACAAAATCTGCAGGGGATCAAATAATTATTTTCCTCACTGTACATAAAAACACACACCTTGCCCATTCAAATGAACATTTCCAGACTGAGCATTTTTTTTGCAGCAGTTTGAAATGCAGGCAGAATCGTTAGGCATGAGCAGTTGCATTGTTCTAATTTGGAACTGTTAACAATTTAGTGTTCTACTTGGGGCAGGGGGAAAGTGGGCAACAGGGGTTGAGAAAAGTTCCTGAAAAAGCATTTTTGTTTTTTGCATTGTAATTGAAACACTCACCAATAAATCATATAATGCTTATTAAATTCCCATTACAAGAGCTCGAGTTTTCAATGCCCAAACAACCAGAAATATGCTTAAAGTGTATATTAAGAGAAACTTTTTTTTAAGGTTTTAGGTAGATTGAGAGGTTTAAGATTTTTTATAGCTGTGCCCTCCCTATGGAATTTCATTCTGTTATTTATCTTAGTGATCATTGTCTTAAGTATAAAAAGTGATAGAAATCCAAACAGCCCGAAGGGACACAGCAAAAGACAAAAATGAAAAATGAAACCCTGAAGGGTCTTAAGCATGCGCCACTCTATCAGAAACTAAAAAAGGTTTTACATACACTTTACAAATGATAATGCTTGTAAACCACTCGAATCGCTATAAAACATTTTAAACCTCCCATGAAAAAATACTAATTTATGTCTGACATTTTCAAGCAATTCTGATAATGAAATGATGATGTCTCATTTGTGGATTTGATAGCCAAGCTTTGCTTTATTGATTTGGCTATGAACCCCCATACAAATAAGCTATGCCCCTGGCTCTGTAATGTTTTGACAAAATATAATTTATTGGCTAACAGTATGTAAGCGGATTTATTTTTGATTACCATGCTCCTCTTCCATAATGAGGATGCTGTTAACAGCTGCAAGTCTTGCTTCAAAAACAAGGTGATGATTCTAATATAAAGAATATTCATATGCTAGCTATCTCTCTGGAACACGATTCTTTTCTAAAGTTGGAAAGCAAACAGTGTTTTTCATTTGTTCCAACCCAATTACTGGAGCGGCTGCTGTGATCCTGCTGAGAGTCTGACCTCTCCTGTCTACAGAGGTACTTATACACGCGAGACATTTTCGCGTAGGCTGTATCGCTTCAGAAAATATCAATGAAACTCTGATGTGCCTTCAAGTGACAGCCAGAAAAGGCCATTAGCACATTTTACAAAACCTGTGTTGTTATGGCCCGATGGAAGGGCTGACAGTAATTTCATCAAAGTATAAAAATACAAAATATAATGAAAATGTTACCTATAACAGCTAATCACAATGCTCATACAGGGGGATTGCATTGTTTTTACTGTCTAGTCAAAGGTCTGATGCTGACCCACTAGTGCTAGGGCAACACCCCTTTAAAGCCCCACCAGAACTGAGTTTGCAAAAAATTAACGGGTTTGCATTGACAGTAAGCTCTTAAGTCCATAGAAGTCAATTACCTTCATCAGATGAGGATGGCAGAAGTGACGTCAGCAATCCCCTGGTGGATGCTGCTGACCAAAAGTGGATGTCTTTGCATGATTTGTCAAAGGGCCACCCCCGAAATGCGTAATGATGATGACAGCCCAAGCCTCAGTTCCAGCCTCTGCTTAGCTTGCGGTCCATCACATCCACTTCCGGTCAGTGTCAACCACCCTGGTTGTGATGGCCTTGAGGATTGGCCATACACCAGCGGTCTGTCTGCACCGATATCTACATTTTCAGCATCCGCTTTCTGCCATCCTCATTTGACAGAGGTAATCTATTTCTGAGACCCACAACCACATATCATCACTGGCTTGTTCCTATCTACTATTAGTGACATCTTGGGTTCTATGTGTATGGAATAATCGCCATAATAACAGTTTGCAGCAGAGACCTCATGCCTTTTTATGCCCAGGTACAGGCTTTCTATACATTTGTTTTAATATGAGGATCTAATATCAATTACCTCAAGACTGAACTTACAGTGTGTCAATAAATGTTTTTCTGATTTGTACTTAGTGTGCTGTGGTTTTACACGGTCATCAGCTTTCCTAAGTGCTTACTGTGGACTATTGGATCAACAACTGTACTAACACAGCTGCAGGTCCTATTTTGAGAAGCATGTGGATGCAGATGCACGGCTCCAAACACAGACAATGAGCATCTCGGACCACTCACCCACACCTTCACAACTGTCAAATTTTACCTGTGGCTGTGTTTGTAGAGCCTCTGTGTCCCCATAGAGTAACAGGTGGCTCCAGTCACACAAACAAAACCATTCATTCACACTGTATCTGCAATTTTTTTTTATTATTTTGTACATTAATTATTTTTTATTTTTTTTATTTGTTGCAATTTATTTTTATTTTCGCTTTTGAAACAGAGAAAGGGACTGGGGAAACACATTCTTCAGTTCCTTTCTGCAGCCTCAGCTGCACAGAATGCATGAACAAGAAGAGCTCTGTGCAGCCTCTCTGTTCATTTATAAACTGAAGCATAGTAAAGTCTACTATGCTTCAGTTATGAATGAACACAGTGAGTGATTGGTAGCGATCACTTACTTGTTTATTTACAAAAAAGGAAGGGGTAAATTACATATTTACTGGCTATGCTCTCCATCTTGAAAAGATCCCTGGCACCTCTTTTGGCTTCCCTGCCTCCTCTCCTGTATGCTGCTGTGGGGGATCTTTTCAAGATGGAGAGCAGAACAAGGGGCCAGTAAATATGTCAGTTGACTTTCAGCTGCAGCATACAGGGGATCAGTTCTTCTAATTGCCCTCTGCCAGGAAACCTAATGTGACAGGGAGGCCCCACAAGTGACCTGTGACCCAACACTACGCCCATGTGTCCTTTGGGTGGGAAATGGTTAATCAGCACCCACGTACCTGCCAGGCTGCAGGTATGTGCAGTATTTTGGGGAAGAGGTGGCACCCCTCCTTCCTGGTAATGGCAGATGACCCCTTCCGCCTTCTCATGGTAATGACAGATGACCCCTTCCTTCAGGAGCCCCCCTTCAGGTAATCAAAAATTGTTTTACCTCCTGGTAATGAT